GTGGTGTGTACTTAAAAGTCGACACCACGCGAGTCGAGTGGGACGAGCATGGCAACAATGGTTTCGAAGTGGAGCTTGGAGGCTGAATGGGAGCTGGGAGCGATGGGTGTAGGACTGGGACAAGCTTTGGCTGGCCTGAGGGGCACTTGAAGAAGATCGTAACAAGTGTAAAGATCGGCACCCGGGCCGAGGCCCGACCATCACGAAAAGAAGCTGTCCTTGTGACGTGTCCACCACGCTGCATTTCGTCCCTTGTCCTCCACCTCCACCACTGCAGTGATACCTCTGTTTCTTTGGTCAGTCTGGCTCCTGTAGAAATGTTGCCAGTGGTTGATATGCTTGCCTCCCAAGGTTGGTACGGCATCATGCTTTCAGAGAATGATTCTCGATCACTCTACGTTATTGGTGCGGGATTGCTTTTCTTGAAAGTTGAGACGGCAAAGGAATTGATCATTTTGTGTAGGTGGCCAAGGTGGTGCTGGAGGTCAGGGAGGCCTGCATGGTGGCTCTGGTGGGGCTGGAGAGGGTCCCATTGTGCATATCACTACGCAACAGTTGATTGCGCATAATCTGCACGCCACCCTTGCTTCGGAGGAAGCATTGCAGCTTCGCAACATCCGGGCATCTCAAATTGCCAATCATTGTCCTCTTCCATCAAGAATCTTCCATGGTAGACAGGGTATCCTTGACAAGATGCATCATTTTTTCTTTGACACTGAGATCCAACACATTTATGTGCTACATGGACTCGGAGGTGCTGGAAAGACACAGATTGCTCTGAAATTCATAAACAAGTCATCATCTCGGTAAGTTTGATCATCCAACTGGGAAATGATTGTTGATCCAGTTGTTTGTTCCAGCTTCTCAGACATATTTTTTATCGACACCAGCACTATTGCAGCAATTGACACAGGTCTCAAGAACATAGCTGTTGCGAAAAAATTTGGAGATTCTCCCCAAGATGGCTTACTATGGCTGACCAGCAAAGTTGAAGAATGGCTACTTTTCTTTGACAATGCAGATGATCCAAGCATCAATCTGGATCATTTTATTCCTCAGTGCAATCATGGGAATATCATTATCACCTCTCGAAATCCAGGACTGCGTGTTTATGCTGGATCCCACTCCCTTGTGTCAGACATGGAAGAGGAAGATGCAGTGGCATTGTTACTCAAGAGCGCTGTACAGGAGGCCACAATCCATACTGAACAAACTGCAACAGAGATTGTGAAGGTAAAAAGAGTTATACCTGGAAACACATTCAATTTTTCAATCCTTCTTCAGGCATTGCACTATCTACCTCTTGCAATTGTTCAGGCTGGCAGATTCATATCAAAATCTCAAGATCTTGATGGCTATCTGGCTCTTTATACAAAGAACCAAGTACAACTACTTAGCGAAAAGCCTGCTCACTCTCAGGACCGTTATGCCTGGACAGTGTACACAACATGGCAAATGAGTCTTGACCGGCTCACACAACCTGCTGCTATGTTCCTGCAGCATTGTTCATTCCTCCATCACAATGGAATTTCAGAGCAAATCTTCAGCTATGCATCCAAGTACACATTTCAATCTAGTGGTCCCTCTCGAGAAGATCTACAAGGGCCTCTGAAATTCCTCTCACATTTTCTGGGGCCAACTGGTGAATGGGACTCTCTGGAATTTTTGCATGTCACGAATGAGATCAAAGACTATTCATTGCTTAGCTTTGATGCAGATAAGACAGTTTTTTCTATCCATCCATTGGTACATGCCTGGGGTCGGGCAACAGTCCACAATCCAGAAAGACACATGTTCACCATGGGATCTATACTTGGGATGGCTATTTCAGAACGCACACAGCAGGATATGCAATTGGCGAGTCTGATAGTGTGTCCACATGTCGAATTGGCTGTACAGATGGATGCGGAAGTGGCTCTGGTTTTCAGGCATAGATATGCAACAATATATCGGGAAGGTGGAAAATACAAACAAGCTCAGAAGCTACTGGAAGAAGTGCTGAAGAAACAGAACCAGGTTCTGGGTGACAATCATCCAGACATCCTGTGGACCATGGGCGATCTGGCCAGGTCATACTCAGACCTAGGAGAGCATCGAAAGGCCAAAGAACTCAAGGTTGTTGTGCTGGAAAAACAGAAACAGGTTCTGGGTGACAACCATCCAGACACCCTACATACTATGGATAATCTGGCTATCTCATACTCACAGCTAGGAGAGCATCAAAAGGCCAAAGAACTCAAGGTTATTGTGCTGGAGAAACGGAAACAGCTTCTGGGTGACAACCATCCAGACACCCTGCATACTATGGGTAATCTGGCCATCTCATACTCAGACCTAGGGGAGCATCAAAAGGCCAAAGAACTCGAGGTTATTGTGCTGGAGAAACGGAAACAGGTTCTGGGTGACAATCATCCAGACACCCTGCGTACTATGGGTAATCTGGCCAGCTCATACTTAGACCTAGGAGAGCATCGAAAGGCCAAAGAACTCCAGGTTATTGTGCTGGAGAAACAGAAACAGGTTCTCGGTGACAATCATCCAGACACCCTGCGTACCATGGGTAATCTGGCCAACTCATACTCACAGCTAGGAGAGCATCAAAAGGCCAAAGAACTCCAGGTTATTGTGCTGGAGAAACGGAGACAGGTTCTCGGTGACAACCATCCAGACACCCTGCGTACCATGAATAATCTGGCCAGCACATACTCAGACCTAGGAGAACATCAAAAGGCCAAAGAACTCATTGTTGTTGTGCTGGAGAAACGAAAACAGGTTCTGGGTGACAATCATCCAGACACGCTGCATACCATGCGTAATCTGACCATTACACAGAGGAGATTGTAGGCAGTAGCAGGAAGTGGTGTGGTGATAAGTGCACCTGTTGAAACAATTATTTATTCATTGAAATTCCAATATGTGCAGATGAATTGCCTGTGATAACCAGTTGATGTACAGAGTGAAAGTATGCATTCATTGGATGGAAAAAGTAAGCTTCTACACTGAGCTACACACACATGAGAATCTTTTGTTTGAAGTCTCAAATCAGGGTTCAGATATAACTGCACCATTCATTTTAAATGTCAGATGATGTGAATTCACTGCCTGGCTTATCTACCAAGTTTTACCACAAAACACTGGACCACTTGGCCAGCGGTAAATTCATGTGCTTGGACCGTTGAAACAGGCAAGATGCGCTAACAGTGAACTTGGGCTAAACTAAGCTCTGAATGCGGGCTAGCTGAACACTAACACACCACACACAAAACCTAACACAACACCAAATCCCCTACTTATACTTCACTAAGACTAAGCACGTCTTCCTCAGTGAGTTCGGGTCTGAGCCATAGTATGCGACTACTGGTTTGGATTCCTAGCACAACAAGTATTGATTTCTGGCCTCAACTATCCCAACTAACAAACACCACTCTCTTAGCTAGCTACCCTTGACTTCCGAAACAAGACTTCTCAAGGTTGGGATGTACAGGTTTGGGGTGAAAAGGATTGTTACTAGGCGGATGCACAAAAGTACAGTCGTCCTAGGCAAGGTAATAAAGTGTCTATCTGAAAACTCCCGATTAAGGGCTATACTGCTTCGGCTGGTCTTCCTCTATGGCTTGGCTAGCTAAATGCTGTGAATGTCCGACTCAGACTCCTTTGAATCTAAGCTTTTTTTTTTGTACACTTGATCTTATTAAGAACCTCGAGCGCTCTCTAAGCTCAGCTAGTGGGTCAATGACCTGTCCCGAGGGACCTACCAAAGTGCTGTGCCGGGCGTGGTCAGTTTCACGGGAGGTGTTTCCTGGTCACCCAATGCGTAGCTCTCGCTAAAGTCCACCACAAAGCTAGCTGCAACTCTCAAACTTTCTTTTCGTGCGGACGGTCCTGATTTATATGTGGAGAGTGGTGCCACTCACAACCTCCCAACGCGAAGCTTTGCTTATTGGTTTACACAGTTACTTCTGGATCCAACAACAGTGCTGCAATTTCTATAGAGAAGGTACTTTATCTCCGCTTCAACTGGCCTGAGCACACCCTTATTGACTGAACGACGAGCGGTGTGATACGGACTGCGGTTCCGTGAGTTGTCTGACCGGGTGTGGTATAGTCAGGCAAAAGCACGAAGTTAATTCGTCCCCTAGAGGGAAATTTCTCTGTCGCGGAAATTCGTCTGCTACGGTAGTACGAGGTGTTATGTATTTATGTGTGGTGGTGGTGGTGGTACAGCTCCTTCCGTACGGATTGAACAGTTTCACTAGGTTCCTCGTTGGGGGCTAGCCTTCCAGGAAAGCTTCGATTGGAGGGTTTTCTACACTTGCGCGAAGGGCGATGCTCCGCAAGATGAACACCGTTCCGTGTCGAGATACCTGGGCTATATGGTCCCTTTCCTTATCTCCTTGCCTCGTATAGGTTGGGCAAGCAGTGTCTTCAGAACTGTTGAACACAACACATACAGGTTATAGCATGGTCCTTCGTAACCCGGGTTTTTCTCTACGCTGTGGTGGTACGGCCAAGGGGTTTTTAATTCTGCGGATGTGTGTGGGGTGAAATGGCGAGAATGAATTGTGGAGTGGTTATAATCATATCAGATAAGCCTTCCACGACGATGGGGATGGTACTCCGCGCACGGATCTGCGTTCGAGGCCCAAGCCAACGGTCACACGCAGCTAAGTTGGGCTGCTGGCTGTTTAGAAGTTTGCTGCGTGTTCTACAACCACGCGAGCTATCAACACCGATGTTTCTACAATTCCCTCCGGCTTGTTCTATTGAACCAGAAGTACTACGGACAAGCCTCCTTGTTTGAAGCGTTGGCCCAATTTGACCTTGGTTGGTCCCACAGAGGGCGGCGCAACCTGAGCGAGTGGTGCGTGGTCCGATAGCTGCGTCCTTTTGCAAGGAATGAGCAGAAGCGAGTCAAAATCGAACAGTGTTCTTCCGTATGTGTTGTGTCAATTGTTAGTTTCCGTGAGGGCCATGGTGATTTGGGAATATTTGCAGTGGTAGACCTGGTGGCGTAACTGTTAACGCGCACATTTATTACTGGCACATAATCAGTTAAATGCGAGACCCTCGTTCAATTCGAGGTCAGGCCATTTGCAAATCCAGGTGACTTTTTCCCATGTTCCATAGTGTGTATCCTTTTTCGTTGCGGAGAGAGTGTGCACAAGTATTCAACCGTGGGTGTTGATTGTCGTCTGTGAGGACCATAGCGATTTAGGGGTGCTTGTAGTGTAGACCTGGTGGCGTTACTGGTAACGCGCACATTTACTGTAAGGTGACAACACATGATCTTCAAATGCGAGACCCTCGTTCGATTTGAGATCAGGCCGTGTTGGCGATTTTGCTTCCTTTTTCCGCGCATGTTCCGTAGTGCGTGTTTACCTTTTTCAGCCACGGAGGGAGCATATCACAAAGTGATAGCTCACAGCGGGGCATGAACTGGCCTCTAGCGGTATTTTATGAGTCTTTATATACTGTTCAGAGAGAAATAGATGAGGTAAAGAGAAATGAGTAAAACAGGCCGATGTTCTGGTCATGCGACCATCTCCAGAAGACAAGCCGGGTCCATTCGTGGTCTAGGCTTGCCTAGATAGTCAACTATCTGACCATCTCAACACTAAACCGGGTATAATTGCCTTTCTTGGAGTGCTAGTCTGCACCCGGGCAACTCTCCATGTGCACAACTACTCCGGGACCACTATTCCCGGTGCAGATTGCTCATAATCACACCATTCCTCTCTGCTAGCTTACGGACTGAACGTCCTGGTGTTCAACCACTGCTCCATCTCAACAAGAACTCACTGTTCCTGCTATTTGTCTCTGTTATGCTCTTTGGATCGTGTCGCTGATAGTGCGTATAACCAAACATGCATGAAAACTACCAAGTTTTCTGCAATTATCGACCTATACTAAGGTGAAGTGAGACTAGTACTGAGAGAATACATTCTCCTCGGAACAGTATTCTACACCGCTCACGGTCGAAAGCCAGCAATTAACAAGTACTTTGAAGTCCAACCGAGAGCCTTAACGGGTGTCTTAGTTCAGCTTCACGATCTACTGCTGGGCTCTGGGAGTTGGCTTACCGCCAGATTCCTGGAGTACCGAGGTGAACAAGAGGAACTACAATGGTCTTAGCGGCTGAGCCCTACTAGCGGTAGCCTCATTGAGATATGGGATTTGAACCACAAACCCTACCTTAGGGTTAGGAACCGGCCTATAAATCCCCTCGACGGTAAGACCAAAGGGAGTTATGAAATGACACAGCCATCCGTTGGACGAGTTTCACTCGACCAACCGTTGGCTTCAACAAAGTGCCTGTAATGGTTGAACATGCCTGAGGGTAAAGACGGCTGGACCCCTTCTTAGCACTCCAACGGTTGGAACTCGACTCGGACGATCCTACCCGTAGCACTGGCGGCCGGTTGGGTTCCGGACAACTGATCCAACGGCTAGCCGTTGGCGGCTGTACAACCCAACGGTAATGACCCTACCTACAGTTGAAACTCAGGACAAGCCTCTACCATTGGAACCGTCTGACGGTAGGACTACATTCGGACAAGTAATAAGATAATAAGACTCTACGGGAGAAGCCTCCTACGGCTGGCATACCTCCAGCGGTAGCGGCTGTGGAATCGGTGGCCGGTCTGACCGTTGATGGGAGATCACCTGGCGGCTAACCGTTGGCAACCGGAACTACAGGAAGCTAACGGTTGAGGATCGAGCCGGAGATAAACAAATCCTGAAAGTGGTCTACCGCTGCCTCAATAGTGGCGGTAAGCCATTTGATAGAAGTCTTCACAAAGATAAGAAATATAGATATGGGATAGTGGCCTACGGTAGGGACTTCCAGCGGTCAGTGGTTGGACAACTTCACAAGTAACCGCTAGCCGTTAGGGCTTCTCGGCCTAGGTCACAATATGTCGCAAAATATAAATAGCCTTATAATCTCACATCATTATAAGATGCCGGGCTGCCTTACACGGCAGTTATCCGGCGGGCCGCCAGATGATTTGGCGCCAATAATCCCTTGTTTTTTCTTGCTCAACGCACCATACTTCCAATGACCCAAAATCACCTGCTGGCCCTCAATTATACCTCTTCCACCTCTCTGTATCACTCCTTGAGTCCAAATAGACACTTCTGCCACCGTCGTCGCTGTCCGTGACATCCAGCCTCAAACAAGTGTGTAGTGTCTAATTTCGACCTGCAGCACCGTCCAATTTGCTCATTTCTGCGTGACAACTGTAGATATTGCCTATTGACTCTTTATTGATCTTTCCGCGCGCTTTATGAAGAGAAAATTCAATTGGTGCGTGGTCTGTTTGGTGGATGGCCGCCAAATATTTCACACACTTCGCCTACAGGCCCATCCTTTCTCGTAGCGGCTGTGCGCAGCTTTTTCACGATGGAGAACAACAGCAGGAGGTGTGCGACACTCTGTTTATTCTCACACAGCCAATAATTTTGCCATGTGCAGTCATTCTCTTCTATTGATCCATTCCTGCGCAACATCTCCACTCAAGATGCAGAAACCTTGCGCGTCATTGTTAGTCCATGCGAGCTCTTTTGTGAGCGCAAGCTCTCTGCCATGGTGTGCATAGTACTCCCACTGTCCCCGTTCCAATTGCCAGAAGCGTTGTGCCTCTCGACTCGAGCTGGGTTGGCGCCAGAGCTAATTTAGATATGACTATTTGTGCAGGTATGTCCTTATCCTCTTTCTGCCCATCCTCACAAGTTTCTGATATGCAGAAGTCAATGGTTCATCCACCGCGCCTCTGTTCAAAAGCACATCAAATGCGAGACAAGGCTTCTAGCAATAAACGGAAACTCGAATTGCATTGGAGGTGAGAATCTCATTCTTTCATTTGTTCTCTTTGCTTGAGCATAATCTGACTTCCACGACACGTCCCCCGCCCTTCTTCGATCTGCAGTCATGGGTACCTCAGGCAAGCTTTCCATCATTCCCCTCGGTTCCGTGCCGTATAATCCCCCCAAAGTAAATGTTCGAGAAATGAGTTGGCACATACGGTATGGACTAGAGACGAGACGCTGTGGCGTGCGGAACGAGTGCACAACAGGTGGCGCAGCGTGCACATCTGCGGCTTTGTCTGGACAATCTGCGCAATTGGGCGCGCAGCACGGCAGTGCGGAGGAGGAGGGGTCTGCAGTCTTGTAGGAGATGCTGGTGGTGCGCAGGGATAAAGCCCAAGCTGGCCGCGAAGGCACTTAGCTTCCCCGGGCGAGGAGGATGCACAGAGTGTATTCACTGAGCTTGTTTTCCTATTCTTCAATTGTTTCCCCACTCGAGACACTGATCACATCCGCAGACTCGTCCCCTCACAGACCCCCCCCGACGCCATCAAGCCGCTTGTAAAGTCGTACCTCGAGAGCGAGTTTGCCAAGCTGGAGAGCAAGAGTAAGATGTGCGTGGTCGTCTTTAATCTTGCTTTCCCCTTGTCCGCTTGTTATCTTCTTTGTATCAACACACTTCCTTTTCTGCTGTGCTTTTGGAGTATTGTGGGCAGCTTGGTCAGCGGGTGCTTTCTGCTTGGTTGGATGCTTGTCTGTCGGAGTGCCCAGCACACCTCATATAAAGGGTCTTTTGCAAAATCTACTGGCCTTGACCACATCCCGTTTTACAAAATCTTCTGGCTAGGCAATTTTAATAAAGGGCACCGGCCGGGATTGAACCAAAAGCCTATTGGCTTCAGTCCAAAAGTGAGACCAGAGCACAAACCAACTGAGCCAAAGGGCTGATAAGAAATATTGTTGTGATGGTAGTATACCACACAATGCAAACTCTGAATAAGCACTGAGTGAAGTCTAGACAGGTTAGGGTTGGGGTTAGGGTGAGGGTTGGTTCAGGTGAGGGTCAGGGATATTTATAAAGGTTAGGGTTTGGGTGGTTAAGGTCATGCAGTTGGTTAGTTAGGGTCAGAGGGTTAGGGTTAGGGTTTGAAACATACACAACCATACAATTAGCAGTAACAAACAATAACTGAGCACCTGGGCAGGCAAGCTGCCTATAGGTGTGGGAATCAGCAGCCCCAGTTGGGGTGAGTCAAGGTCACCCTAGCTGGGGCACCAAACACTTTCTGTATAGCTTCCTTGGCCTAGTTGGATAGGCTGTGGTCCCTCTAAATGCATTGAACCCAAAAGGTCCCGGGTTCAATCCCCGGTTTTGACATTTTCATCATTTACTTTAATTGGCTGGTCCAGAAGATTTTGCAAAACAGCATGTGGTTAAAGCCAGTTGATTTTGCAAAAAGGCTACTATATGGGCTGCCCAGCACGCGTGCGGACACAGAGGCCCGTACCTTTGCTGACTTACTGATCTTAAGCTTGAGTCTGCATTGTTGATGTTCGCCCGCACAGATGCCATATGTGCGCAACGTCGCCGAAACGGGCAAGATGCGTTAACAGTGAAAATGGGCTAAATAAGCTCTGAATGCGGGCTAGCTGAACACTAACACACCACACACAAAACCTAACACAACACCAAATCCCCTACTTATACTTCACTAAGACTAAGCGCGTCTTCCTCAGTGAGTTCGGGTCCGAGCCGTAGTATGCGACTACTGGTTTGGATTCCTAGCACAACGAGAATTGAATTATGGCCTCAACTATCCCAACTAAACAAACACCACACTATTCGCTAGCTACCCTTGACGTTCTGAAACAAGACTTCCCAAGGTTGGGATGTACAGGTTTGGGGGTGATAAGGATGTTTACTAGGCGGACGCACAAAGTGCAGTCGTCCTAGGCGAGGTAAATGAAGTGTCTATCTGAAAACTCCCACTAATGGGCTATGCTGCTTCTTCTGCACTTCCTCTATGGCTTGGCTAGCTGAATGCTGCTAACGACCGACTTAGACTCCTCTGAATCCAAGCTCTTTTCTGTTACACTTGGGCTTATTAAGGACCCCGAGTATTCTCTTAGCTCAACTAGTCGGTCAATGAATCGACTGGCAGTTCTACCAAAGTGCTGTGCCGGGCGTGGTCCATTTTACGGGAGGCGTTTCCTGGTCACCCAATGCGTAGCTACCACTGAAGTCCACCACAAAGCTAGCCGCAACTCTCAAACTTAAACTCTT